TAGAATTGCTATTGTAAACATGAGCAGTTTCGAGCATAAACATAAAATTGAAACGAGTAATTTTTACACATCTGATTGACTAAATTCAGGAAGCCATTCAAGTGTACGCGTATTTGTTACAATTCCGATCAACTCTGCCGTGCAGCACGGCAGAGCCAGAGTAAATTGTAAACAAATTGTAAAATTTTTGTATTACAGTAAAAATACAAAAATTGTCCCACTTCCGCGGTTTGTTGTGATTTACTGTAATTTGTTCTGTTTTTCTGTAGCGGTTACCGATTTATCGGCAAATACCGCGATAAAACGTAGTTTTCTTTATTTATTTTATTCTACAGCATTTATAGTTCTACAGCTATCTTATACAGTTTTATAATATAATAGTGAATGATTCCGAATATTCAAAACGGATTGAAAGAATGAAAGCAGTAATTATGTATAATGGTTTAAACCGGCGTAGGCCGTACAGCACACTGCTCACTGGTCACTGGGACGAAGGATAAACCGAAAATTCACTTCTCTCCATGACAAGCTTTTATAATGTTCAGTCGATCCGCTACATTGAAAGATGAGTACTTGGCTATTTTTTGGCAGGGATAACGAAATATATCGGCTGTTCTCTAAGTGTTTCTTAATGCGTTGGCCATCGGAATATACTGATATAACTACATAACTCATAAGCTTGATAGATATGTGACGAGTTTACAGGCACAATCCTATTTTAAATACTATGGCTTTTGGCAGTTTTGCATCATATGTGCAGTAAAAGCCCCATTTTTCTACTTCCTCAACGTGTAAAACGCGAAAAAACTTTATTAATAAGAACAAAAATTTGTAATAAAAATTTGTAGTAAATAGTGTATTTTATTATAAAGGATTTTCGTTTTTCTACTGCTCCGTAGTTCGTGTGCTCCGTGCTCCGTGTGCTCCGTGCTCCGTGTGCTCCGTGTGCTCCGTGCTCCGTGTGCTCCGTACTCCGTGCTCCGTGCTCCGTGTGCTCCGTGCTCCGTGTTTTACTAATAGCCTTGTTATATAGTTAACAAGACGCCTACTCAGGCGTTCACACTGGCCTCGCGGTTCGTAAAATACCATCGCAATATTCTAAAAAATAATTTGAAACATGTAGATGTTCTTCCCTTCTTGACGGCCGTCACTTCATGATCACAAACATTGAGTTTGACGGCCGTCACAAACATGATCATAAACATTGAACAGTTCACGACCACATCAGCACTGCCTGTATCTAACTTATCGTGATTAAATAAATACATATTATTATTATTATTATTATTATTATTATTATTATTATTATTATTATTATTGAGAGGACGGCACAATAAAATCCATACAAAACCAATAGAGTTTCAGCGATATCATATCGAAAAACACAGAAAAGTTCAAGCGCATGCGCAATGGAATATAATAAAATACGTCCCACAAATACAGCGTCTAAGATTTGTAGCGTAGTTAAATACGAAATTCGTTCTGATTAAGATTGTCTAGAATATATTGGTCCCAATGATCGTCGTGAGCATGTTTTAGCTAAATTGCGCAATCCTGAGCCCACGATGCCGCAATGGAAAGTCACACTTGCGACAACAAAAACCCCCCGAAAAAGACAGCATTTTCAAGCAAGGGCATTCTACAAGATAATATTACTTGACTGTAATTGGTTGGTTTCAGTGCATTCAATCCCAAACAGCAGTGCAAAAATCTGATCTGATTGGTGGAAAACATTGTGATGATAAAATCAACCAATCAGTTTAAAGCAGTTTAGTTTAAAGAAGTAGCGGTCACACTGTCACAGATTGCTTCAAAACAATACAAGCAAGGCGCCGCGCTACATAAAGTAAAAGTTGACTTCGCGTAAAATATTTTAAATTAATTAAACAAAATTTAAACAGTTGAGTGGAATTTTCTAGCCTGCGAAAACAGCCTCTACTTTGCTGCTCCTATTAATATAACGTCGCACAAAGAAGAGTCTGCGATTCGAGTGACAACATTCCATACTGATGACGTTGGGCGACCGGATTTTGGTCGCGCGTTATGATTGGTTTATTCTATAATTTGATATAAATTATGCCAACACATGCAAATCGATTTTGAAATTCAAGATGGCCGGATATGTAAAGAATATAGATATGGATATATTTAGCGAAAGTTTGAGAGAGATTTGCCCCAAATTTAATGTCAAAGCTCTCACGGAATTCCAACACAATGCGTTGATTAATTTTATCCAAGGAAAAGACGTGTTCGTAAATATGCCTACTGGTTCAGGTAAATATTGATTTACATTTTCAAAATATATATGAATAGCATTTAATTTATATATAAAGTGTTAATACAACTTTCTCATGATGTCTGCAGACTAGCAGTGAAAAACTTGTGTTGAAAATATTACGATCAGAGAACGTCTTAAAATATCTGTCTACCCTAAAGATTTAAGTGTTTTTTGATTTGGTATATAGAAGATATTTTTATATTAAATTGTAATTTAACGTTTGGCATGTTGTTTTGATTTAGGTAAATCTCTTGTGTTCCAAATTGCACCTTTGGTGGAAATGTGGATGTCCTCGCGATATATAGACTCTGTAGTGTGGAAGCAAGATCCTATCATCATCATTATATGCCCATTAGTTGCACTTATGAAAGATCAGGTCAACCATTTAAACAATATAGGTTTTAAAGCAGCTTATGTAGGATGTGAAGAGGCAGAAAAGGGTATAGACAATGGTGATTTTATGTATGTATTCATATCCCCTGAATCAATCCTTTCGAATGAACGTTGGCGATGTATGTTGGAGAAAAAGCCTTATCAGGAAAGGTTAGTTGGTATAGTTGTAGATGAAGCCCATTGTATTGTCGAATGGGGTACTTCATCAAACAACAAAAAGAAAACTATTTTTCGTATCTGGTATTCTCGTCTCAATGAGTTGAGATCTTTAGTTCAAAAGGGAGTGACGTTCTTGGCATTAACTGCTACTGCTACAAAAAAGACTAAACAACAGATTTTTGATATGTTGGAACTGAAAGAACCAGTTGAAATTATAGATAATCCTGACCGACCGAATATTTGCTTTGTTGTTTAAAAAATGGATAATGGCATCAAAATTGCAGATCATTTCAAGTTCCTGGTTGATGAGCTTAAGCAACATGGAAGAGAAACAACAAGAACAATAATATATTGTCAGACAATCAAGCAGTGTGCTTTATTATTTAACATATTTAGGAATTCTTTGGGCACTGATCTGTTTTGCAATGAATCTAATGACCCGAGAATGAGGCTATGTGATATGATGCACTCATCTACTCCTGAAACTGTTAAGAATCATATTTTGGATCAATTTTCTAAGAGTGAAGGTCACCTGAGAGTACTCATAGCAACAATAGCATATGGGATGGGAGTAAATTGCAAAAAGGTGCAAAGGGTGATTCACTTTGGACCTTCCAAATCAGTTGAGGCTTACATGCAAGAGAGTGGTCGTTGTGGAAGGAATGGCGAACAAAGCAAAGCAGTTTTGTTGTACAACAGCATTACAATTCGTACAGCAAATATTGACATGAAGGAGTATGTACATTCAACTATGTGTCGGCGTCAGCAATTACTTCATCATTTTAGCACTCCAGTTGGTACTAAAATACTAAAGGGACATTTGTGTTGTGATATTTGTGCAACAAATTGTGCTTGCAATAATAGCTTGTGCAAATCTGACGTTTTTCTTCCAGTTTGTAATTTGCAGGAAAAACCTGACAAGATACGAAATGTGTCCGATACTCAGAAGGAGGAGTTAAGAGAAGCGCTAAATATGTTGATGAAAAAACTCCTCATGAAGAATATATCTGGTGAGAAGCAAAAGGTTATAGCTGTGTCATACCCAAACAGTTTGATGGAGTTTGGAGTAGATGTAATAGATCAAGTGATAGCATATGCCCACCTTATTTTCGATGTTGAAGATGTAATGAAATATGCTGATATTTGGCAGAAGAAGCATGCATTCTTTGTATTAGAAATTTTTCAATCCATTTTCCATGACATTGAGCATATT